ACCGAGTTTTTCGATGAACTTGTTCTGCGTTCTGTTCGAGAGATAAGTAAGTTGCCTCGATTTCGACAGCTGGACCCTTACGAGGTGCTCTCGCAAAACCGGATCGTACTTGGCTACCAAATGAACAAGCTCCAAAAAGTTCCCTCGACTGGAGTCTCCTCCAAAATCGGAGTCGTACTTCTGCTGCTCAAAATGACCTCGGAATGCTTGATTCTGCTTCGCGAGGTACTTCACTATGTCCAGCAGCCTCTGCAGAACTGCCTCGAGTTTCTCCGTTTCCATCTCAATCTGTCTTCGCCTATGATCGTCTATCGTCGCTATTCTTCTCGAGTCTCATGCGCATCTCGTCCCATTCGGTGTCATTGAAGCGTTTGGAAAGACGCCATCGAAAACTGTTGGCGACAAGATTATTACGGGCGCGAGTAACGACGAACAGCCGCCGGGAGCGCGTATTGGTCAAGCGCGTTACGAAGAAATTTCGTAGGAAATGGGAGCGCTGGATGGACGAAGCGAGCTTGAGGTCCTTCCTGTCTAGGATTTCAGAGATGGGTAGTAGCGAATCATAGTCAGGTTCGGCACGACACTTAAAGGCGACTCTTCTGATGAATTTACGTTGGAATTTCTCGAGGAGAGCGAGGGACTTCTTGAGCCAGGGACGCCATGCCTCGGATCCGTAAAGGAGGGAGGGGAGGACGAGAGCCTGATAGGCTTTGTAGTATACGGCGGGGAGTCTACAATTGAAAGCTCTGAGTACAAAGTTGGCCGTTCTGCCGGCTCTAGCTACAGCCGTGAGGATGTGTTTCTCTGGCTTAAGGTCAGACGTGAATAAGACACCGAGATCCTTAACATCTCGAACTTCGGGAATGGTTTCGCCGAGGAGAGTATAGCTGTGTTGGTTGTCATGGAGTAGGTGAAGGGTAGCAGATTTAGATGAGGAGATGAGGAGTTTCCAGCGTTGGGCCCAGCGACCGATGTTGGAGAGAGTTTCTTGTAACGCTTCGGCTGCCCCTGGTTTGGAGGTGTCTGCGAATATTTTGGTGTCATCAGCGAAAGTGCGGTGATGAACACCCTCGACGATTTCATGCTTGAGATCAGTCGTGAAGAGAAGATATAATAAGGGTCCAACGACGCTGCCCTGGATTACTCCAGAGGGGCAGGGGTAGGAGTTGGAGAATGAAGATTCGACTCGGACACGACATGAACGGTCGGCCAGAAAGTTGGCGAACCATTTACATAGTTCATCAGAGAGCCCAAAGGAAGGGAGCTTTGAGATAAGTAGGCCATGGTTGACCACATCGAAGGCGGCGCGGAAATCAATATAAATGACATCGGCTGTTGCGGAGTGGTCATTGAAGGCGGTTATCCAATGATTTTGTGCGTCGATGAGTTGGAGCACAGTAGACCTATTCGGACGGAAGCCGAATTGGTTGGGGTCAAGGAGGTTATTGGATTCGCAGTGGGCGAGAATGTGATTGGAAAGTATGCGTTCAAGGACTTTGCTAGCAATAACATTGATGGAAATGGGCCTGTAATTTGAGGCATCAGTGCGCGCGCCCTTGGACTTGTAGACTGGGGTGACGTAAGACATCTTCCAAGCATCGGGGACCGTTCCCGTGCGGAGAGAGAGGTTGTACACGCATTGTAAAGGATGAGCTAGTCCAAGGGCGGCCCTGGAGAAGAAGATAGGAGGTAGTCCATCGGGGGTGACGGTCAGCTTACTCCCGAGAGAACGTAGAGTGGTGTAAACCGTGTGTTCGTCGATGAAGGGATCAGCCAGAGGTGGGGCGGGAGAGTGTGAGGTGTAGACCGGGATAGGAGATCCGTCATCCGAGGTGAGTGAGGATGAGAAGTGGTGTGCAAGTTGGTCGGCTTTTTCCTGGGCTGATGAGAAAATGCGGCCATCATGCGATTTGAGGAGTGAGACTCCCGTTGAGCCACCCATACGACTCTGGGCATAGCGGTAGAAGTCACGCGGGTCGTCTGAGGTGGCAACGCGCGTCTCAACAAGGGTTCGCTCGCGAGTGACCAGGCGGTCAATGTCGGCAATAAGTTTGTCCTGAGAAGCATGGTCGCTCACAATGGGGAGTCCGCTGAGTCGATCACACAGGAGGGCAATGTGGTCAGGGAGACCATTTATTCTCTGTTTGACGGATCGCCTGGGGATGTGGGCATCCCGTAAGTCGTGACAGAGTCGCAGGAAAGAGCCGTAGAGTCCATTTACGTCGTCGCCAAAGCTAGCGGTTAGCTCAGGCCATGGCATGGAGAGCAGCCGATCAGAGATCGAGTCGTAATCGCCATGCCTGAAATCGTACGCAGGACTTGGGGGCGGCCCTGTAATGGTGGGAAGTGTGAGGGTGAATGACAACAGGGAGTGATCAGATCTGATCGGGGCAGTTGAGGCAGTGATATCACCAAGGATATCACCATCGTCGTTTGTGAGGATGAGATCAATTGTGTTACCGCTGCGATGAGTAGGGGAAGTGACCATTTGGGACAGCCCGTGGAATGAGGTGAAGTCTCTGAATACCTCTTCTTTAGAGCGAGAGTACTCATCAGATGACGAGGGGCACGATAAGGACGCCCAATCGATGGCCGGCATGTTGAAGTCGCCGCAACATATAACCAAGGAATCGGAGGAGAGCAGTTGCTCCAGCTCATCGGTGAATGTGGAGATCCTGTGGAAGCCATCCTCAGAGCTCTCGCTCCACGGGGGATAGTAACACGAGATGAGGCGGATGGCTCGATCGGAGATGAATAGGTCGCAGGCACAAATCTCGCTGCTACATTGGAGCACGAGGGGGCTGCAATTGAGAAATTTACGCACAAGGATACAAACGCCACCTCCCGGCTTAGAGCCAGAGCGATCGCGTCTGAAGACTTCAAATGTGCCATTGAGCGACAACTCGGCTTCACCGATCGAGTCAGGCTTACACCAAGTTTCGCAGATAAAGATGAGGTGTACATTATACTTGAGGCAATAGTTGAGCAGTACGTCGAGTTTGCCGGGTGACATAATGCTCGCGGCGTTAAGGGAGACAGCATTAAGTCAGCTGAGGTTTTCCAGCCTACCAGCTGTCTCCTCGATTCTATCTTCCAGTAGAGAACGTCCGCGGAATCTGTTGATAAGGACTCCCTCGGGCCAGCTGTCAGCACAGATCAGCTTGCTCGGCTCACCATCGCAACAGGTGATGACGAATGATGCGAAACAACCCGTGCTCTTCTTGAACTTGGCGACCGAGTTTATACCCTGCGATAGTGTGGACGCGTGGTCGAACACCGCTCGGGCAGTGGTGGACGGTTCAAGTCGTGATACGAAGATATTTGTAGAACGTGGAAGACGTGGCGCGGCACTGAGGGGGCATGCAATGTTCCCAGTTCCCACAATGGGCTTGCTTCTTCGTGGTTTAGTTGCAGTGGGCGGAGTATGGGTGTGAGGGTCTTGTATAGGAGTTTGCTTGCGGCTCGCGCGACTACTCGCGAGAGTGTCCTGCAAGGAGACCGGCGCGAAAGGAGCCGGCGATGATTGCATAGCAATAGATGCGGCCGGTTGGGACACGGGCGGAGGCTTCGGGCCGACTAGGCGATTTCGCCCGTTTTGCTTGGCATGTGAGCTGCTACGGGCACGCCCCGACTTTCGACCAGTACCGGCAGGTTCCACGGCTGACAGGGCACGACGGAGATCGCTGATCTCATGCGCCTAGGAGTCAATTTTTGCGTGAAGTTCCAGCATCATGTTCGTGAGCTGGATAACACGGACGAAGACGTGCTGTGCATTGGGGGCCTTTTTGTCGGCAGATGAGCACTTTGAGCAGAGTCCAGCCATTTCCTTCTCGACATAGCAGCTCTCGTGGATGAATTTGTCACAGCGCCCCATGCAAGCGAGCAGGGGGCCCTTCACACCGTTCTGCTCGAGGGAGCCGCAGAAGGCGCATGAGACATGCAGAGCCATCGAGGAGTACGTCGGTCGGAAATACTAGTCAGAATAGGTCCACAGGGGGCACAGTAGATTAACTGGCACGATTTTCCACAGGGTAACGTGATATACACGAATTAGTGGGAGAATTATCGGGAGCGGCGTGAAAGTTGTCACTGCCGTCCGATAGCAGACGATCAGCGATCGTTCG